AAGTGGGATAATTTGCAGCGACTTGTTCCTTATGGGGAAAAACACCCGTCATGCAGATCAGGATCCCTCCGCTACACTTTGGGATCCTGATCGACCGACGAAGCTCCATTAAAATATACATATTTTTGGTGAATTACTGAGTTTAGGCACGTTAATAACGTTTTAATGAAGTTGAATACAGTATATTCATATGTGTCAGTGATTTCATGTCAATTCGGCGAACATAAACATAAATGATCGTGGTGAAGATGATGATTAAATTAGGATTAAAAATCGAGAGCCGGGCTGCATTTCCTCCCGTTCGTTTTTTTCGAATAACAAAATTATTTTGTTAAATAACAACATGGTGATGTTTTGTAAATGATTAAATGTCTCTTATTTAGCACAGTAGTATGATATCCGTGACATATGGATCTTAACAAAGTTCCGCTGTACATCCAGCATACTGTATCTCACTTTATTTCACATGAGCTCCAGTGTGGAACCCCACTGCACCCCCTGGTGGATCAATGATCCATTGCAGCTGGCTTCATTATAATTACATTTATCTATCACGGGGGCAGTCTCAAGTCAAGCTGGAGGTTTTCCCTTGAGCGAGGGCAGATCACGTACCAATCACGGCCCTCGCGTTTCAAACTGTCTGAAATGAATCGCTACATCTGTATGTGTGCTAGCAGCCCATAATCCACATTATACATAAAATGAATCAATGTGAATTCTGTTTCTAATTTGTTTAGTTTTTCCCCTAAAAAATAACCTATACAAATACTGTTAAAGAACCGGATCGATATGCAGTATTTGTAGTTCTTTCAATTAGGCCTCATTATTTCACAATGGCATTGGATAATCTGCCAATACAAGCACTTTTGTTCATGTTCCAATCCATAATGAAATATAAAATTACAGTTGGATCTTTTATGTCTTGTTATTATTAGCAGAGAAAATGTAATGTTTGTACAACTATATACAATTAGTTCTACCAATCTCGGTGGGAACCGGATTAGGGGTGGCTCGAAAATATTTCCAATTACACAAGGGGGGCCTGACTGAAAAAGGTTGGGAACCACTGGCTTAGCTAAAGGCTGCTAATGTTGGCGTGATGACGTTTAGTCGTCTATTTTAGGCACTTGTGGGCAACATAAACATTTTTAAGAACCTTTAAATCTTCACATGTGGGGTATTTACAGACGTATATTATGTCGTATAACAAAAAATGTCAGGCTTCCAACCAAAAACACGTTCAAAAAAACTAAACTTGCTAAAATGCTAACCCATTTGCGAATTCAAGTCTCATTCCTGTACCACTCTATTAAGGACGGATTTGTTTACCTGCACTGTAGCCATTATTATTGACGGAAAAAGCTTTTTATTAAGCGAAATGTCAAAGTGTCTGTTCACAAAATATCTATATATAAGACTCCAACTGTGTTGATTTTTTTTAATGTTTAAAATACTTATCTATCAATTAAAGTAATGAACAGGAGAACCAAATATGAGAATAATCTGTACTTGCAGCCATGTATGGCGTATAAGTGAAATTTAAATTATTATCAAATTCAGATGAAATTCTGCAATCCAACACACTGAGCCGGTTCTCACTGCAAACATGTGTTTATTGGTAATAGTTGATAGGTGCACAGATGTACATTATCACAGGTCTGGATTCAGGTAAGTGGTTTCTGGTCTCATCAGCTGAGGAGAGGTGGAGCAGAGGGAGCGGCGAGGGGAGAGAGGGTTGAGTGCATCTTCATCTGGGACGGAATGATTCTCCCCCATCCTCCCATTCCTCCCCCTCCTCCCCTTCTAGTCCTTCTTGTTCTTGTAGTCCTCCAGGTGAGACAGCACCCAGCCGGAGGGCCCCAAGATGGCCACGAAGAAGGCCGTCATAGCAATGGCCTGGTCCTGGGGGGCAGAAACAAAGAGATGGTGGAAACAGGAGTCTACAATGTTAGGGGTGAGACTGCAACACTCCTAAAAACCAAAACCAAAAGGAAGGAAGTCTTCTCTTATAGTTGCTGTTTACTAGACTTGTGTTTCATATAAAGCAGATGGCAGCACGTTGGCAGGAAACGACATAACGATTATTCTGCAATTATTAAATAAAAAAACAACACAGCTATTTTTAAACAGTTCTGAGTACAAGCAGCCACTAAAGCATCCTAGATAACTAATAACATAAAGTATTAATGCTGGTGATTAAATCAACCAATCTAATGGTTCTTAAAGTTCTGCTCTTTTTCCTGATAATAACACTGAATATGACTATTACAGCTTTATAAGGACCATGGACTGCTTGGGTTAGGGTTTTAGTTACCACTTTACAATACGACTACCCTTATAAACGGTTTACGAATATTTTGTAATTCATTTATTAATTAGGTTGTGAACACTTTATAAATCATTAATAAGCTTTTATAAGACATGAAATAAACAGGGCAACCGTGACCGGTTGCTTGCCAAATAGTGAGCCCACATTTATCTATTGCTAAGTCTTATATTGGCTACCTAGCTTACTTCGTCTCCTTCATCAGCCAGCATCCTTGGTATCTGTTGCTCACTGAGTTGATTCTTGCAAAGTAGCCAAAATAGGGCTTAGTCATCTTGCCAAATAGTGAGCCTGTGTTGATGTATGAAAACTATGTTAGAACTGGTTTATAAATGGTTCTTAAAGATTAATAAAGTGTTTACAACCTAATTATAAACCCTCTACGAATCCTTTATAAGGCTAGTCTTATTGTAAAGTGGTACCGGGTTTTATATGGAAAATAAAATCTTCCAAGTACTATATCCCTTCTTGGTGTGGAGAGCATGAAAATTGATTTTAGCCTTAAACATCGCACATTCGTCTCTATATAAATACATTACAGTGTACAACAGCAAAAAAATAATATTTGTAACTCTTGAGTGATGCCAGATTTTCTAAATTGTAAAAGTACGTGTAATAATACCAAGAATCATGTGAATCATATATAAATAACACATATAATAACAAAGTCTTTCAAAAAGTGCAAACATTTCAGAACACTGTATTGTATTTCATACATTAAACCTGTACAACTGTATCTAGTGTCACTGCCGACCTCATATTTATTTCAATTAAATGAATACATCTTTTTAAATGTATGACAACAAATAGATACTAATCTGAGGTTCCTCCTTACTTTTGTTTTGTAGTTGTAACTCGAATGTCCAGAACATTTTATATCCTAATGTCACAAATTACACAGTGTGACTGCATGAGTTTTACAGACTGCATACAACACCCTCTGTCCTATGACCCTAGCAGCTCCCGGGAAAACCCCCACAATTACCAGGAAAAAGGAAGAAACCTTGGGGAGAGCCACAGAGGAGGGGTCCCTGTCCCTGGACAGACATGCAGAATAAACAACATGTTCCAACTGACCCCAATCTCCCCTAATCTGTAGTCTTGTCAATATGAAGAATACAAATGCCCTCGATTTATTATTTAGGCATTCCCTCTTAAAATGTGTCAAATAATGAGCTAAATAACCGAACATGGGGGCCTTTTGGGTTAAAGAAGTTGCCGTGTCCGTGATCGACATCAAGGTCAGACACCTGGCACCTGATCAAAACTTTACACAGCGACAACAAGATATTTAACTGTTAACTATATAAAACCTCTCGCTTAATTCAGGAGTAACGTGTGCAGTCTCAGCCTTAGGATGTGTAAACATTTCTGGGAATAACCATACTCTGAATATTATAGCGTATAAAGTAATAGTCTATGTTGCTATTTCTGTCTCGGCTGGCAGAGACGTGTACGTGTTGTTTTCAGGCGGAAAAATGGCGAGATGCTGTCGACCTTGATAGAGTTAAAACATAATTTCGATTGAGAAAATAAAAGTCCCGCATAAGCATGGCGCATGAATAAATATGATATTCATTATTTGATAAAAGTATAATCGAAGCCTGAAATATAAAGTTTGGCGCAGTTATAGGGAAGTGAGCCCTGCAGTGGATTATGCTCTGTCATATCAGGCCCTCGAGAGCCTGCTATTATCCTTATTATTGCCGCGTTATCAAGCTTGCGCTCCTCGCCTCGAACAATATTCAGGGCACGGCTCTTTGACATACTGTATCCCTGTTAACATGTGCTGCTCCGGGCATGTGAGGTCAGCGGAGGCTCCATGGACTCACCACTCCAGAGATGACGTGTTTGGCGGGTTTGGACGACAGATTGGCCACGGGCACGAGCTGAGTCCTCAGGGTGCTCCTCAGCAGGCGGCAGGCGGCGGGTTGAGACATAGCGAGGCTCCGGAGCACAGGGACAACTAGTATGAGACTCTGCGTTACTTTTGGTTCTATGAGCGCCAGGCGCAGTGTGTGTTGGAGTGTGTGTGTGAGGGAGGGAGGGGGGAGACGGTACGTTGTCCGCCCTCAGACAGCGTCGGAATTTAATTGGCCATCACACCTCGGTATCTGACACCGTGACCGAGGCGCGGGACGTGTCCTCATATGCCCTGGCTACTCTCTTCTACTAGCAGGGCCGCTGTGTGTGGCGCTAACACAGACATAATGCGGAACCTTATAGCCTATGTACAGTCTATTTGTGTACATTAAAACTTAGGTTTGAATATAGTCTATTGTTTAAAGATAGTTCCGTGTTGTTAGTGTAACACACACAGCACTCGTCCAAGGTGAAGAAGCCTATAGTATGTTATCGGCCAGGGGTTCTCAAACTTTGCCATGCCAAGGACCCCCCCC